GCCGCGCGAACCAGACTGCACAGCAGACAACAGCGTGGGCAACAGACGCTCCCCACGTACACAGACACACAGACACACAGACACACACACGAACACAACAAACACAACAAACACAACACCAACAAACACAGTGTACAACTTCACCTACACCCCCCCCCCCCCCCCCACCCCCACCACACACAGCACCCCTCAAAGCTCATCTTCGTCGCTCTCCGGAAGCGGTACCGGCAGCTGTTGTCGCATCTCCTTGAAAATGGCGTTGAGCCGCAGCGGCGACTGACCCACGATGGTTCTGTTCGCCCACCTGTCCACGTCGCTCACGGGTCTGCACGCGCTTGCATCCACCTGATCGCCCTCGTCCTCGTGTACAGGGGAGCAGTCATCGATGACCAGCATGTGTACGGGCGGCCAGAACTGCGGCGCGGTGTTGTTGAACCGACAGCGCATCAGTTGCAGCACACCCACGCCAGCAAAGGCCCGGAGCTCCAAACCTTGCTGCCGCTGTCGCTCTTGCTGTTGTTGTTGCTGCTGCTGCTGCTGCTGCTGCTGCTGCTGTTGTTGTTGTTGTTGTTGTTGTTGTTGTTGTTGTTGTTGTTGTTGTTGTTGTTGTTGTTGTTGTTGGTGTTGTTGTAGTTTTGCTAAGATTAGTAGTGGTAGTGACAGTTGCAGTTGTTGGTGTCGTTGTTGCTGCTGTCGTCGTCGTCGTCTTTGTTGTTGTTGTTCTTCAAGTTGTTGTATTAGGTGTGGTAGTAGCTGTTGTTCCTCTTCTGCCGGTTCTGCCTCTTTTCCATCTTGCCCCTGTTCTCCATGGTGCCCTTGCTGCCCCTCTCCCTGAACGCGCGATCCATCACAACCATCAACAAGAACGTTGGAAAACGTGCCGCCAATCACATCGCACGTGTGCACCCGGCACGTAGACCCAACAGTCACGTGCGCATCCTTGTACAGGGAGAGTGTCATGCGCCCAACGTCACGCACACGCACGAGGGTAAGCGGGCGTTCCCCTCGTCGAAGCGCTCTCAACCACCGCACCGTGAGCTCGTCTGTGTTCGCGACAGATACAGCGCCGTGGCAGGCGTGAAGGCATATCTGCTTGCGCGTCGACAGCGCAACCCCTTCACCATCAGGCGATGGCGGAAAGGTGATGTCCGTGAGGGACAGTGTGGTCAGATGTGCGAGGTGGCGCATGCCCAATGGCCGCAGCTGCACACATGTTGACGCGAATCCGCGCACTGCAAGGTGCCGAAGAGGGTGGAGCTTGCCCAGGTGCGAAACGTCCAAGCTCAGACGCGTGGTCCTGCCATGGAGGCCCGTGCCGTTTCTACCCCCGTTGTCGTTGCCACCACCAATAACAACAACAGCATGCCCATCAGCGTCGCCGTCGCCACCACCTCCACCAGCACGAGCACGTGCGTCGCTGGTGCCGGAAACCGGGGTGAAGCGGGAGTGCGACACTAATGGCGACGTGAAGTCCAGGGAGAGCGACTCGACGTTTGGTTTTGGCGATGTCAGATGCTGTGAGAACAGATCATGCACCTGCGTGTGAACCAAATGCAGGTGTACATTGGGGGGCAGGGCAACCTGATTGGTCAGCAGCAGGTCACCCAACTTGGACCATGGTGGCTGATACACGACACGGCGCGCGTGGCGTGCCAGTCGTATGAGGTCATGCGCGTGCAGGGATTTCAGGTCCAGGTAAATCTCGTCCACGGTATCGAAGGTGGGCGGTGCCCTCAGGGATGCACAGTCAAACACGGCAATGCGGCGCACACGCTGCTGCTGCTGCTGCTGCTGCTGTTGTTGCTGCTGCCAATGTTTGTCCATGGCGGCACGCAGGCTGTCGCACGCACTACCGTCACTCACAATGTACCGAACGGGGACAATGTGACCGCATGTGATGCCCGTGAGCGACTGGCAACCGGTGATCTCGACGGTGGTGGCACGTGGAAGGGACAGGGAGAGGGAACCCTGGACACCCCAGCTTGAGGACAGGCTCAGTCGCTCAACATTGAGGGTCAGGTCATGCCCAACGAAGTCATTGCAATTGCAAATGTCCAGCGCGCGCACGTTACTCAGAGCGGTAATGTCCGTGGCTGCCACTGCATCGAGGGTGATACTCGCAGCACGTGCCAGCGGCGACACGTCTTGCAGGCGTGGCATGTTGCTGAGGGACACGTGCGGCACTCCAGCCAACGCGGCGACACTGCTGATGTCGCAATGACCTGCGCTGCGAATGCGTGCCATGTGCACGTCTTTCGTGTTGCCGCTGATGGATGACTGCTCACGGGCGACCGTCCACGTGATGGTGTCAATATTGCAAAAGTCGACGCTGTCGATGATGACTGAACCCGTGTCAAGTTTCACGGTGTGCATGTCATGCACCTTCAGGCAGGGAATATGGACTGGGGGTGCTCGTTCGCGTCGCGGCCGCCGAGCACGTGGACGCTGCACATAATGGTACGTGCGTGGCGCAAAGGACAAGGAGAGCATATGACACCTGGGTGCGCCTGGGGTGGTCAGAAGTCGCGTCAGGCGCTCAACACGGTCGGCGTGCAGTCCGGCTGCATGCAACATTATCCCTCCTGGCCTGAGGTTGGTTGGCACAACAGCGGCAGAGGTTGCCGTGGTGGTGGAACTGCTGGTGGTGGCTGCGCTACTGGTGGTGGCTGCTGTGGGCGTCGCAGTCGTTCGTGGTTCTGTTGCCCGTGCTGTAGGTGCTTGTGTGTCCTCCGTTGCAGCGCGTGTGTTGGTGGCATGAGCCGTCGCTGAAGCGCTAGCAGTTCCCATTGCAGTGCTTGTTGGATTTGCGACTGTTGACGCATCGTCACCGCCAGTGTGAGTGGAAGAGGCTGAGATCAGTTGCTTATGCGAGTCCAGCAAGGTTGATGATGCAGCCCATATGCCCAGCTTCTCTTCCAGGTCGTCCAGGTTGGCAATGTCGACGATGGCAACGCGCGAGAAGAGATTGCGATCCTCTGGTCTCCGTAACTTGATGGACGGCAGTCGCCACGACCACGGCAGCCCAAGCCACGAGTGTACGAAGAATCGCTGCCGAAGCCACTCAGCCTCGCGAGACTCAGCATGCTCTCCGCAGAGGACGCGACTGGCGAGGTGCCGATCGCCCTCCTGAGGGCCAAGTGGGCCTTCGCTGCGTGAGCTTGTTGGAGTTGTTGTCGTTGCGCAGTCGCCTTCCGTAGCACGGGCAGAGGAAGGCTCGTAGCCGTCCAACCAATCACCGACAAACTTGAACGCGTTGAGCAGGCACCAGCGCGGCAGCGCCCAAGGCAGGTTTTCGTACAGCTCGCGACATGTGAACATGAGACGAACGATGGCCCGCGCTGCCACCAGCTTGTTTGGTTCGTAGCCATCCAAGAGCATGTACTGCTGCCACTGTTGCTGCCTCTCGCGTTCTTCGTCCTCGTGTTCTTCCAACAGCATCAACACCACGTGCTTCCACTCAATCACATGCAGTTTTGCCGAGATGCCACTCTTGGCGGCAGAGGAGGACGACGACGACGGCAACGAAGGGGAAGCGTCCATGTCGTGTGTCTGTCCTGGTGTCCTGCTGTTTGTCGTCGTTTGTGTTTGGCTAGAAACTTGTGCAAAAACTTGCAGCACATTTCCGCACTCGCCAAACACAAACACACAAACACAAACACAAACACAAACGTCCACGACTTGCTTGCTTGCTTGTCTTTCTTCTTTGTCTTCATGTCACATCATGTCACCACACGCTCATGTGTTTTGGATCTTTCTTTGTCGATGGACCTGAAGGAAGGGGGGAGGAACAGGAGCAAATATCCCTGACATAGACGTGTGGGTTGCCAAGTCAATACTACTATGCTACGACAAGAGACAAGTCGACAAAACGAGGGCAACATGCACCACCCACACAAAGGGTCAAACTCAATAAAAGGTCAAACGACACACAAAAGCACACGTGCATTGGCCGACCTGGCTATCTGGCGAGAAGAACAACAAGTAGAAGAAACGATGCACAAGAAGAAGCGGCAAGAGAAGAATGAATCAAAAAAATGAACAAAATGGGCTCATGAAGAGCAGGAAATGTAACTGCTGCTGCTGTTGTTGCTGCTGGTGCAAACGATCAAGCAGATGTAACGGACTCAAATAAAGGGAGGGAAGATGTATGTGGGTGTGGGTGTCGGTGTGCACATGGGAGAAATACAAACATCCATGGATTTGTGCTGTGAAAGCCTCTCTTCTTCTTCACACACCTCACCCACACACGCGCACCCGCATACAAGCATGCGTATAAGTGTGCCATTGTGTTGCCACTCAGACAAATGTGGAGCGCGTGGAGGTGCCACGGCGCATGAACGAGCGAACAGAGGCACGACTCGTGTTGAGCAGAGTGGTACGGTTCAGACGGCTGCTGCTGCTGCGGTTCAACACCGATGACTGGTTGTGGAGGGACACAGGCAGCGTTGTGTTGAGACCACCCCCACCACCGCGGGTCGTGAACGGCGCCTTTGATGATGACGACGACGACGACAAAGGCCAGGGGCCGCGGCGCGATACAAAAGACCGCTGCATGGTCGACGGCTGCCGGCGTGGGCGTCCAAACTGCCGCACCTGTTGCTGCTGTTGATGTTGCTGCTGTTTGTCATGGTGTGGCATGAGCGTGTAGGAAGCGTTGGCAGCGCTGCTTGGGCCATCTGTGTTGGTGTGCTGCATTGCCCCAAACCCCTTGGCTTTGAGTTGCTGCTGCTGTTGCTGACGTTGGTTCAGTAGCTGCTTGCGTGGATGGATGCCAACGACGGAGGAGGGCTCGCTCGGAACCTGGAGCGCTTGCTTTGGCGTCTTGGTTTGCTTGCAAGCATCAGCGTCATCAGCGCCGCGGTTGAGTGGGAGGTGGAAGACGGCAAGTGGAGAGCCCGCCTTGCGCTGCCCGGCCACCGACGCCTGCGTGGGATGCAGTTTCAACGGTGACTTGCACTGCTTCTGTTGCTGCTGTTGCTGTGATGCCTGCATCTTTGACGGCTGCACAAACGTAAACGCACCCTTTTGCTGCTGGGGTTGTTTCTGCTGCTGTTGCAGTTTCTGAATGGCGTGTTGGGAGACAGGCACCGATGCATCCACGGACGCTGCTGATGACAACCCCGACGATGACGATGACGACAGGACTGGTGATTGCAGGGCCGACGCACTTGCTGCTGATGCTGCCGGTGTCTTGGGTTTCGCACCGCTGCCGCCAACGTCCACAGCGCTGTCGCCCTTGGCAAAGGTGAAGGTGGTGGCAAACGCCGCACGAATCGCAGCCGTGTCCACACCAGCACCGCTGCTGCGCTCAAGCGCCATGGCCAGCTGCTTTGCAGACGACCCACGCACCGCTTCTTTGCTGTTGGTGGTGGACGTGGAATTCTGCTGCAGGTCGGTTGTGTCCACGTGGTGCTGGCTGCCGCGCGCGCTGCTCACGGCGGAGCGGGTGGCGTGCATGTCCAGACCACTGTCCTTGTCGCGCACGAGGAACAGCCCCCGCGAAGGACGCTGGCTCGCTGGAACGCTTGGCACGGGCCCAGAGATGCTTGACCGCCCACTCTCCGCCGGCACTGCCGTTGACGACGTTGTCGATGTTGCCGAAGCAGGCGCCACTGTACTCGTCGGCGTGAACGCGGAGCCAGTGGTGAACACCGATGTCACAGATGCAGCTGACTTGGGCGGCGCAACAGCATCGGAATGCTGTTGCTGGTCATCGGAAGCACAGTGCTGACTCAGAGCTTGCAAGCCAAGCTGCTCGAGAGATGAGCGCACGTGCTCATCCGTTGCATCTGCACATCGTGAACACGACAAGATGCGTCATCAAGCGGTGAAGGGATGAATGGGTGAGTGAGATGGTGGCGGGGCTCATTCAATTGAAGGAGTGAGTGAGCACAAGGCCAAGAACAATCAATGTACAGGGACGAGAACGTGCATTTTCACAACAACAACAACAACAACAACAGCAGCAGCAGCAACAACAGCAGCAGCAGCAACAACAGCAGCAGCAGCAGCAGCAGGACAAAGACGGGAACCCACCATGGCTGTATCGTGGTGCCTTGCTCGAGCCGTAAATGGCCGCCTCAATTGCAGCGGTGGACATTTCATCCAGTGCATTGCCGCCGTTATCCTCGTCGTCGTCTTCATCCTCGGAGGACTGCCATTGTCGACATACAGGCTTTGGTGAGTCACAACAAACACGAAGCTTAGGGTAGGTAGCAGGTGCATGCACTTGTATGTATCAGCACACGTCAGCCCCGCACACACACACACACACACACATCACAACCTGTTGCCCCTCTCTGCACCCTTCGGCCCTCCCTCCTCTTCACTCCAACTGCTTCATCCTACCGATCCGAATTCATCGCTGTCGTAGCTGGTGAGGGTTTGCACGGTCGTCTGATCCAGTTTCGGCGATTGCACGAGCATCACCTCGCTCACGCCGCCACTGGCCTCACCATCACTCGTCTTTGTCGGCGACAGGACAATGCTGGTTGTGCTGAGGTTGTGGGCGTCACTTCTCGCCATCTCAGCAAAGCTGGCGTTGTTGCTGCCGGCGTTGTAGGCATTATCAACTTCCACGTTTGACGCTGACGATGGCGCAATGCCCGTGGCGCCTGCAGCTGTTGCGAGTGTGTGTGGTGGGGTGGGCGTGGCCTTGTCTGCAAGCACGTTCCGCGTGGATGGCCCAAACAGCAGCGGGCTTTCGCTCTGGAACGACGCGTTGTGTGTCCTCGGCGATGCCAGCAATGCCTGGTCAAGTCCATCCCCATCATTACCACCATCACCGCTCGTGTTCCCGTTACCAGCACCAACGCCGTAACCAAAGTTGCTGCGACGCGCAATCGCACTCGCACGTGACGGGGACGCTGCGACTGAAGCAGTGGCAGGAGCCGTCTGGTTGAGTGTGTTGGTGTTGGTGGCATAACCAGCGCTGCTGGTGTGCATGACACGTGCTGCGTTCGGGGAGGAGGAAGACCCAAGCACATGCTGGTTCGTTGCCGGTGTGCGTTCGTCAAACACCAACTGCTGACGTGAAGACTGTGCACTGCCGCCAGCGCCGCGACCAAACCACCCATGTTGTTGTTGCTGTTGTTGTTGTTGCTGCTGTTGTTGCTGGTGTTGTTGTTGAGGGCTAAGCGGGAACTGAAACCTGTTGATGAGGTGAGGATGCTGCTGCTGCTGTTGCTGCTGTGATTGTGCCTGGACGTTGGAAGAGTGCAGGGGGCTGTTGTATGCCGTGGTGTTCGCTGATGCCGGGGCAAGTGCAGATCGCAGGGGCGACAGTGCTGATGAGAGTGGCAGCTCCGGCATGGAGGCGGATCCAAGGCCACGCAGCGGTGACGGCGGTGCAAACGGCGATGGTGAAAACGGGTGCACACGCCCTTGCTGCTGCTGCTGCTGCTGCTGGTGGTGGTGGTGATAAACAGCACCGCTGCCACCATTCAGGTGGGCTGGAATGACAAGTTGCGGTTGGCTTCGCTGGGTGACAGGACCACCCGTGTATGGCAGCGTCATGTCCACGGATTTGACACCAGCACTTCGCAGCGGCGACCCAGGACTGCTGCCCCACCGCCGTCGTGGCGACTTGTGCTGCTGCTGCTGTTGGTGGTGCCATGCGTGCGGGGTCTGTGCAGCGGAGGCGCTGGCGTTGTTGGGCGCATTGGCACCAGCACTGATACCACCGGCACGACGGCTGCTGTGGGCTGATGCGGGGGCAGACGTGTTGAGCAAGTCAAGCACGCTCGCATTGGCAGCATCACGCGTGTCATCATGGCTGTATGCAAAGTGGCTGGGGAGGGTCACGGAGAGTGGTGAGGTACCGCAATCGCGCATGACAACAGCACCAGCACGCCGGCGGTGGCTTCCGTGTTTGGACACACCACCACGCGATGGGGACGCTGCTGCTGATGATGACGACGACACAGCCACCAAACGCTCCACATCGCTGCCGAGGGAGGAAGGATTCGTGCTTGCGGGGAAGCGGAGAACAGGGACACCTTTCTGGTTGACCAGAAACAGCTCAAAGTTGTCCTTGACAAAGATGCCGTGTGGAGACTGTTCACGAAGCGTGTTGCGCAAATAGCGGAACAGCGGGCTCGCATCAGGCCCGTTGACACGCACCTGCATTGGTGGTGTTGCGGTGAGGAGTTGGGTGGGGGGGGGGGACAAGTGCGATGGGAGTGGAGGGAGGGGTGGGATGTACGTCAGTTGTGTTGAAGGCGAAAGATCAAGAACATGCACATGTCTTTGAGCTTGATGCATGTATCGTGCACATCCATACATACACACACACACGCACGCACACATATCACATGGCAAGCGCACGCACCGTCTTGTGCACATCAAAGGTGATGTTGAGATCCTCAATCATTGCGCGCGTGTCCTCCTCGTCGTCATCTTCGCCTTCAAATTGGACGCACGGGAACGCACAGATGCAAAGCCCACGGTCCTTGAACCTGCGGAGACAAAGAACAGAAAGATGATACAGAAGCGAAGGGGGGGGGGGGAGCAAAACGATTGTGCAAAAGGATAATAAGAGGGGGGAGGGAGTGAGTGTTTGGGTGTGAAGGGGAGAGTTGTGACGTGTGATAGGCGGGGGATTTGATGGGGGCAAGATAATCTCTCGCAACGTTGGCGCACGCATGAAGGCGATGAAGTCGACCACACACATACACATACACACACACACACAAACACACACGCGCGCGCACACACACACACACACACACACACACACACACACACACACACACACACACACCTGTTGTAGAGGCTTTGCAGCTGCGTCATCTTCTTTGTCGCTTCCTTGTCCTTGCACGATACGTTGGTGATAAGTAGGACAGTATCCTTGTACACGTCCATGGAGAGTGGCTTGTTCGCGCGAGTGAACACGGAATACTGATACACGTTCTTTGCCAGGGAGAAGTCATCCTGAAACAACGCATGCGCAAGTTAGTGTGTGTAGGTGCGAGTGAGAGTGAGAGTGAGTGTGTGCGTGCGTGAGAGAGTGCGTGTGTGTGAACAGGAACACGTCACATGTGTTAGGGTGCGTGCGTGCGTGAGCGAGAAGCACTTGATCAGATGTAAGAGTGGCACTTGCAAGCCCATCTCCGCCTGCCCTCACTGCACACACACACACACACACACACACGCCATTTCCTCACTTTTGCCGTCTCGTGGTACTCTGCACCGGCCTCCACCAGCGCGTGTATCCACATCTCTTGCTCCTCGGGCGAGCGCGCCGATGCCTGCAGGCAAATGTGCTTGTGGTCGGGGCCTGTCACGCCCAGCACAAAGCCGTTCTTCGTCTTGTTGGGCTGTGCATAGCGCACGCGAAAGGGCGCGGGCTTGCTGAAGAGGCGCACAAACCCCAGCGGCTGTGATGACCGCTCGGAGCTGAAGTGGTAGATGATGACGCGTGATGGCGATGGTGCAGAGAGAACGCAGAACAGCTTCTTCCACCCGAGGCGCCGGCTCTTCCGGCGCACGGACAGCCACCCATACATCAGCGTCTACGTGTTGGTGTGTGTTGGTGTGTGTGTGTGTGTGTGTGTGTGTGTGTGTGTGTGCGTGTGTTTGTGAGGGGGAGGGGGGAAGAGGATGAGAGGAGGCGCAAGTATTGACATGTGTGCGCGAGTGCAAAACACAACGCGACGAGTCAAAGCAATACAAGAATGCATGCAAGGCATCATTAGGAGTGTCAGTAGCAAAACAAGCAAGGAGGCCATGTTTTGCACCCGCACGTGTTCTTCGGCAATCAGCGAGCGAACGGAGGGCAGATGATGGTGCTCTGGTCCAGTCAACCTGATGTGTCGCATCAGGTAGGAGAGAAGGTAGGTAGAGTCATATGAGCATGGTGCCATATGAAATGATTGCGTCATCCGGTTTCTTGTGTCCCCTGGTCACGCACTGGTAAGTCCATGTAACACAACACGACACAGGACAACACACAACACAACACGCACCTGAAGACGAGGGATGGCGAGTCTGCGAAATCCTTTGCGTCTGGAATGGAGTGGATGAGATTTCCAACGACCAGCAGTTGGCCGGTTTGGATCGCCTGATGATGATGATGATGATGATGATGATGATGATGATGATGATGATGTGCATGCGTGTGTGTATGTGAGTATACGACGAATTGTTGAGGTATTCAAGAGAAGACCACTGGATAGCATCGAGTAGATGTGCTTTGAGCCATGTGTGCACACTGCAAAAGCGACCATCATTTTTGCTCAGGAGCAGCGCATGTATGTCAATGACCACAGCACGCACATGGCGATAAACAAAAGTGCAAACCCACAAGAAAAGGGCCGACCCGCACCAAGCAGAACACACATGCAACCACACCTCTTCGCGTGTGTCTGCACGATCCGTGGCCACGAGCCAGTTGACAATGTCAGCGCCCGTCTGTGCGCATGGGGAGTGATTGTTCGTGTATGTCAAACGAGGCAGTTTATGTGAGGGAGTAAGTCAAGAAAAAAAGCAATGTCGCGCACAACACGCGACAAAGAACACGCACAGGCGTTGACACTCACACACGCTGTCATGCACACGCTTGGAAGCCATCACCACCCAACATCCTGCTGCACCATGACGACAGCGATCAGCAGCACGTGCTGACTCACCATGGCGTGTTTGGAGTGGGAGAGGAGAGACACGCGTCTGTTTCCTGCCAAACCGGAAGTGCGGAGCTCATCTGCCGTCCGCTGGATGGAAGCGCGGACCTGCACATACGTAAACACACGAAAACACACGTGAACACATGCAAGTACATGTGTGTGTGTGTGTGTGTGTGTGTGTGTGTGCGCGTGCGCGCGCGCGCGCAATAATCATCACACAAACCCACCCAACCAAGCATACCACACCCAACCAAGCACCCGTTCACCCATACACACCCATCCGCACCCACACGGTTAAATGCGCACCTCGTCTGGGAGGCTGTCCCATTGCGCGGAGAGCTGCAGCGGTCGCGGTGACGGCGTCAGCACAAGTTCCTCCAGCGTGCTGCTGCGCTTCCGCCTCCGACCAGCGGGAACACTTACGGGCGGTGGCGGTACAGACAGCGTGAGCGATGACTTGTGGCCTGCCCTCTTCTTAGCGGCACTGGTGCCTGAGCCTGAGCCTGAGCCTGAGCCTGAGCCTGAGCCTGATGCTGTGGATGAGGTTGTGGACGCTGCTGTGGTGGCGTACGATGCTGCTGTGCTCATGTTGCTTAGGGTACTGGTCATGGGGTTGCTCGAATGGCTGGTGGTGCTGTACACACCGCTGCCGCTGCCGCTGCTGTTGCTGTTGCTGCTGTGGCTGTGGCTGTGGCGGATGCCGCTGGCAGTGGACGTCGTTTGGTTGGTGTCGCTGCGCGCACCGCTCGTCCGGCTCACGCTGTCGTCAACAGCACCGCTGCCACGTCCACAATGAACATGTTCATGCTCATCATCACCATCACCATCCTCGCCATCCGTGTCAGCGACGAGGTCACGTACTGCCTGCCACGCGCCATCAAAGTCGCTGAAGGCATCATCGCTGTCGTGGACGGTGGACGATGCTGCAGGTGTCACCAGTAGCACGTGCGCTGTGTTGCCGCTGCTGCCGCTGCGGCTGGCGCTGTCGCTGTCGTTGGTGTGTGCGGCACCGCTATCGCTGTGGCTTCTGGCTGTGGCTCCCTTTGCCTTCTTGTTGCGCTTGCGTTCCTTCTTCTGTTGTTTCCGTTGTTTCTTCAGCTGCTTCTTGTCCTTCTTTGTCTCCTTCTTCTTGGATGTCAGAGCGGCAGCATCGTCATCGCGCTTGCTGTCGTCGTCATTGTCGCTGCTGCCAGCAGCATGGGTGGTGGTGGTGGTGGTGGTGTTGATACCGGTGATGGAAGATGGGGGCGGCCTCGGTACGTCCACATCTTTCATTACTGCAGCGGTCGTTTGTGTGGTGGCCGTGGTGTTGGCGAGTGGGGGAGCGTTGTATGTTGCTTCGTATGCGTTGGTTGTGTTTGAGGTGGGCGATACCTCTGCATCCAGCACATCTCCTCGTCCTCCTCCTCGAACCTCCTCCTGCTGCTGCTGCTGCTGCTGTGGGAGGGTGTCAGTCTTGGCGGGAGGTGGTGCGGTGTCGCCTGTTCCGCCCACGCTGATAGCGGACGAGAACATTTGCGGAATTGATCGGTTCATGTGTTCTTGTGGCGTCTGGTGCTGGTGGTGCTGCTGTAGTTGGTGCTGCTGTAGTTGGTGTTGTTGGTGTTGGTGTTGTTGTTGTTGGTGGTTCTGTACCATGTCCAAACCAAAAGCGCCTTCCTGTCAAGGATTGTGGTGTGTGTGTGTGTGTGTGTGTGTGTGTGTGTGTGTGTGTGTGTGTGTGTGTGTGTGTGTGTGTGTGTGTGCAATGATGTGAGGATGTGAGTGACAAGGGTTTGACGCGGGGAGGTGGTCATCACGTGAGTGGGGAAAACGCTCGCAGCAAGGGAACGAAGATGTGGTGGGCACGAACCAGATTCAAAGAGAGAGGGAGTGAGAGATGAGTGAGAGGGGGGGAGGAGAGAGCAACCAGGAGGAAACACACAAAATGATCATTGCAGGCAAGCTGTCACTGCCATTCATGCATGTGTGTGTGTGTGTGTGTGTGCGCGCGTCTTTCACTCACACACACACACACTTGTGCACCGACCAGTGATGGGAAAAAAGGCAACACACACGCACACACTCTCTCATGAACACGCAGAAAGAGGATGCAGTTGCAGCAGGAGCCAACATGAAACCCACGGTCGTGCTCATCACTGACCACGGCAGCTGCACAACAACACAACAACGGCACTCTCGTTGTCACAACCACAATAGCAGCCGCCTCTGTCGACCCCTCCTCCAACACAACCACATTAGCTCTGTGTACCTCTTGTTGCTTGTCTGGTCTCTCGCCAGCGCAGGTCAGGATGGCGGTGTGCGAGAGTGTGGCGGGAAAAGTGCTCTGCGCCGCCGAATCCCGTATGTCGTCACTCAGGTGATTGGCTGCTTGTTGTGGTGACTGACAAAAAAGCCACCAACAACCAACCGCTGGTGTGCTGTGGGTCGGAGATGTTGCTGCGCACACGCACAACAAACCACAATGAAACGACAGCAGCTGCAGCTGATGATGATGATGCAAAGTCACACGCAGTCTTTGCTTTTCCGTTTGGTTGTGTGGTTGGGCCGTGCCCCTCTCCACCGTTCTTCTGTCAGCTTTCGCTCAAATGTCACTGCCACTTTTCGCTGTTGCCACAACCAGTACGGCTTTGGGAGTCGCAGGGTTGTGTTCGTCGTCTCGTTGCCTCTCTTCGCTGGTTGTCTCTCTCTCCGCCTCCGACCTCTGGTTTGTGTTGTTGATGTGAAGACGCACAACCACAACCACTCGCCACCACTCGCCACCACTCGAAACCGTTGTTGCTGGGGTTGTGTGTGATTGCGAATGTGCTGGTCAGGTTTTAGGGCACGTTTTGCTTCGAATCTGCCTTGGTGGCGTTGAGGAGCTCACTTCGCCACCACACACGCCGTCAGGCAAAAGTCCTCTTGCGTCTGTGCCTGGGTCTTTGCTGGCTTGCTTGCCTGTCTCCCTCTCCTCCTCCTCTGCTTGCTTGGTTGGTTGCTGTACCTTGCTTGCTTGTCCGTTCAAGGACTTGCTCGACGATGATGCTGATGGTGCTGGTGTTGTTGTTGATGCTGGTGCGGCACAACGGGCAGGAGAGGAGGTGCAGCGTCCGTTAAGGATGCGTGAATGCAGTTTGAATTTGGCGGCGGTGGTGGGGCTCGAAATTTTTTCGGGCAGCGAAAATATCGATTGTGGTGTCGCGTATGTGCACAGGAAAGACAAATCTGCCTTTGTTGAAAAGTCAAACTTGCCTTCCAGTCAATCAAGCCAGAGAGAACGAGAGAAGGTGGCGGCGCCGCACAACAAACACAAACACCACCCACCAAAGACACACACAACACACACACACACACTCACACACACGCACACACACGCACACACACACACACACACACACACACTCACACACACGCACACACTCACACACACACTCACACACACACTCACACACACACACACACACTCACACTCACCCTCACACGTGATATGGAAGAGCCACAGTCACCGCCACAGGCGCAGCAGCCGCCAGATGAGCCTGCACCACCACGTCCCGTGCCACGACCAAGGCGGCGATCATCGGCCTCATTGCAACCACAGCAACAACACGTGGAACAGCAACCACGAGACGTGGAACAAACACAGCCAGAGCAGGCACAAAGCATGCACCCACAAACACAGCAGCAACAAGAAGAAGACCAACCACACATTCCACAGCAAGAGACACCGGTACACAGCCATGCTGAGGATGGCGGCCAAAACGACGCTGCTCACACCACCCATGATGCTGCTGACACAACCACTGATGCTGCCGATATCGCCGATGATGCTGGTGTTGCGGAAGATGGACCCCAGGCCAAGCTCAGGATGCAGCGAAGCAACCCCATGTTGACCAACGTAGTGCGACACAGCGTCACCAGCTCATATGGCGTGCACAGCACTCGCCCTCGCGTGCAAAAGGTACACCTGACGCTGCACACATATGCACGTGTGTGTGTGTGTGCGTGTGTGTGTTGGACACTTGTGGAATGAATGACTGTGCTTGTGGTTGCGTTTTGTTGTGTTTCTTGTGGGTGACTGTATGACTCGACCTGTGCGCCCGCGGTTGCGCGCGCCGTTGTTCTCACACCACCCGCCCTGCACGGCAGGTGCGCAAGTCATATGCGGAGCGAAAGCTGGAACGCATGGAGGAAGAAGCGCGGCAAGCACGGTTGGTGGAGGAGCAGCTGGAGCGTGAGCGAATGGCCAAGGAACAGGCCGAGAAAGAGCAGGCACAGCAGGCAGAGAGGGAGAGGGAGGAACAGGAGAGAGAAGAGAGGGAGAGGGAGGAGTTGGAACGCCTGCGCGCGTTGAAGCCAACAGCACCGCCAGCACCCGTCCATGTGGCCGAAGAAGGCACCAGCGGTGACAGCACCGACCATATCCATGGCAGTGGCCACAGTGATGGCGGCCATGATGACAGCAATGAAGACGACAACTACAGCAGCAGCTCCAGTGACAACGACGACGAAGATGAGGTGGAGGTGGAGTTGGAAGAAGGAGAAGAAGAAGGAGGAAGGGCAGGGGAGGGCGACGATAGCGCCACCACCGACTCCTCCGTGCAGCCGCCAGCACACCACCCCGGTGACGTGTTTGGCGGCGGCGGTGACGATGAGGACATTCCCCCGCCCAGCCCCGCGTGCTCCAACCTGCTGGCACCAACAGACGAGCTGGCCAAGCGGTGTGCCGTGTTGCATCGCGCCCTGGCGTCCCCTGCGCAGCCTCGGCGACAGTGCAGCAGCACCTCCGCCCTTGCGCAGGCGTCGTCATCGTCATCGACATCCTCGCTCACGGTCGACACAGCAGCGCCACCCGCCACCTCTGCGTCTGCACCGGCCACGCGCCTCACATCCTCCTCCGAGTCAACGGCATCGCTCCAGCAGCAGGGCGAAGCACCCGCTGATGCGCACGACACAGCATCATCACCATCACAAGACACAGCACCGCCATCATCATTGCCACAAGACACATCATTTTCATCGTCACATGCATCGCCAACATCGACGGCAGCGGCGGCCGTTGCGCGCATGCGTTCCTCCACATCGTCGTCGTCGTCAGCAGTTGCAGCACGCGAGGCGCGACGCGCAAGCAGGGCACAGCAGCAGGGCGACCAGTTGCAGGGCGTCCCGGAGGACAGCGCTGTGCAGCAGCAGCAGCCATTGCCTGCAGGCATGCAAGCGCGGCCCATGTCTGTGCTGGACATGAACCTTGATCTCTCCCCGGAGGAGCTGACCTTGATTGGAAAGGAGTGCCTGTCCCTGCAAACGACGGTTGGCGAGGTGAAGGTTGCCATTTTGGAGCACAAGCCCATCCCGCACAACTTGATTGCGTCAGACGTGAAACACCTGGAGCAGCGTGTGCAGCTGCTGGGTGGAAACACCACGTCCTTCCTGCAAAAGCGGCGTGCCAGCATCAGGGAAACGCCAGAGCAACGCAAGGTGTGCTTGTGTGCGTGCGTGTGTGCGCATGTGTGTGCGTATGTGTGTGCGTGCGTGTGTGCGTGTGTGCGTGAGTGAGTGTGTGTGTATGTGTGTGTGTGTGTGTGTGTGTGTGTGTGTGTGTGTGTGTGTACTTTCGTGTGTGTGTGTGTGTGTGAGTGTGGTATGGACAAGGCAGAATGTAAACCTGCCATCTCTCAACTGCATCGCTCACCCTACTTCGGAAACCACCACCATCATCACCATCACCATCACCGCCACCACCACCATTACCACTGATGACAGGCGCGGATACAGCACGAGCAGATTATGATGGCGCTTGAGCGAATGCGCATCGCACAGGAGATGCATGAGGAAAACGTCCGCCTCGCCGCGCAGATGAGGTGTGTGTGTGTGTGTGTGTGTGTGTGTGTGTGTGTGTGTGTGTGTGTGTGTGTGTGTGTGTTATACCTGTGTGTCTGTGTGTTACATCTGTGTCTGTGTCTTTGTTGGACTGAGTACATGCACATGTGTGCGCGCGCGCGGGTTTGCACTTTCATGCATGCACGCAAAGGGTTGCGGGTGGTTCAAGCCATCACGGCACTCACGAGTGCCTTTTGTTTAATGAATAGGGAACAAGAGCGTGAGCTTGGCAAGAAGAAGAAGCGCAAGGTATCAGCTTGTGCGAGTGTGTGACGCTGGTATGCTTGCGTGTTACCTGACAGCCTCGTTTCTTGCAGTGTGAAGAAGCCGACTATCTTATGCACACACACACACACACACACACACACACACACACACACACACACACACACACACACACACACACGTACGCACTGTTGCAGAACAAGCCGAAGAAGGTGAAGAAGAAAGAGCTGAAGCGTCTGCTGGCGATTGTGACAGACAGCACCCCAGTTTATGCTGTTGGAACCACATACAAGTCGCTTCGCTCGCGTGACAAGAAGTTCCTCTCCTTTGACATGAACGAGAAGATTGACATTCTCAGGTGAGGTGGAGCGTAGATGGGGGCAAGGGGCGGGGCGATGAGTGTTGCGGTTGCTGCTACTGTGTGTGCCTCTTTGTCTCTTTGTCTGCGTGTGTGTGTATGTGTGTGTGTGTGGGTCTCGTTGTCTCTTTGTCTCTTTGTCTGCGTGCGTTTGCGTGCGTGTGTGTGTGTTTTTGTCTCTTTGTCTCTTTGTCTGCGTGCGTTTGCGTGCGTGTGTGTTGGTGTGTTGCGTAGGTTAATGAATGCTTTTTCGCACACGTGCGATTCTTCATCTAACACTGCTCCCTTCGCCTTTCTTTTCCATGCTCCGCTCCATCCATCCGTCCGTCCATATTCCTTTGCTTCAGCATTGATGGCACGCCGTCTGGCCTCTGGGTCTCGCGGAACAAGGACGGACAGGTGTGTGTTTGTGATTGTGATTGTGATTGTGTGTGTGTGTGTGTTATGCACTGGTGCACTGGTGTACCGAAACCCACCCTCCTATGCCCCGTCTGTAATCCTATCCATCCCTTTCTATGCTTGTCGCTGCCCCTCTTCTCTCGCCCCTATTTTGTGTTCCCCTTCATGTCCCATTCTTCTCTCCGCCCCGCCCCCCCCCACAACTTCCGCCAGCCACAAACGTGACTCATTTCTTCACCCCCCCCCCCCACCGACGCTCACCATTCCTCCCTCCGCCCCCCCCCCCCTTCTTCTCCCTCTCCTCTTCCCAATTAGGTCGGCTTCGTGTACACGGACCATTTTCGCATCGAGGCGTCATACGTGAACGAGCGCATGCGTTCCAGCAGCACGACGTCCATCACCAACGCCAACGCCGCCATCACTGCCACTACCAGTGCGCACGAAGGGGACGGCGGCAGTGGCGTTGGTGGCGCTGGGAGCGACACTGTGGCTGCTGACGGTGTTGACACGCCCACAACTGCACCAGAGGCGTGATTCTGTGTGTGTGCGTGTGTACATGTGTATGTGTGTGTGCATGTGTGCATGCATGTGTGTGCATGTGTGCATGTGTGCATGTGTGTGTGTGTGTTGTCCTGTACTTCTTCTTCTCTGTCTCCTTGCTTGCTTGCTTGCCCTGTGTTACCCTTCTTGCCTGTGGTGCATCGCAGACAACACAAACCCACAACCAAACCAACCAAACCAACCGAACCAACCAGCCAACCAAAACCACAACCAAAACAACCAACCAACGAAGATGCGACCACGCCCACGCCCCTGCTGCTGCTTGTTGCTTGTTGTAGTTGTACCCCTCCTCCTCCTCCTGGTCCATCACTGCACTCTTGCCGTCAGCGGCGGTGGCTTGCTCATGGCGGATGAGCAAGGCAACGTGCACCTCAACACAACAAGCAGTGGTGTCAGTCCAGCTGCCAGGGGGCAGGCGCCCAAAGTGGTGCTGAACGGAGTGGATGTGGTGGGCCAGCTGTCGTCAATGGCACGGCAGACGCAAGCGCTGCAACGCTACTGCGCGCTCCGGCCCCACGCTGTCGACACCACCAGCATCGCAGGCCTCACGGGCACGCGCAAGTGGCAGGGCGGTGTGCTTGTGCCACGAAACAACAGCAATACTGGCAGCACCACCAACAGCGGCACTGCCGGCACCACCAGTCGCAGTGGCCACGGCACCATCTATGCCATCCCCAACCTGGCGGACCAAGTGCTGATCATTGACACGCGCACGCGCACAGTAGACACCACGTCCATCACCGGCATCAACGCCGTGGTCGGCCCTGTGGGCGGCGGCAAGTGGACTGGCGGCGTGCTTGCGCGCAACGGCTTGATTTACTGCACGCCAACAGGCGCGGCCGCTGTGCTCATCATCAACCCCACCACCAACACCATCGACCTCACGTCCATTGCCAACCTGCCGAGCGTTCCCAACAAGTGGGTGAAGGGCGCCCTGCTTCCCAACGGCCTCATCTACGCCCCACCTGCTGACGTTGACAGCATGCTCATCATCGACCCACAGAGCAACACCGCAGACTTGACCAGCATCAGCAGCCTCCCGTCTGGCGAGAAGAAGTGGACGGACATCGTGCTTGCAGGCAATGGCATGCTCTACTGCATCCCGGGCGCAGCCACCTCCGTGCTTATCGTCGACCCATCCACAAACGCCTTTAATCACACCACCATCGGCGGGTTCTCCACAACCATCTGGAAATGGGTTGGTGGCGTGCTTGCAGGCAACGGCAAGGTCTACGGCATCCCCTACAACCACCGCGGCGTGCTTGTCATTGACCCGGCCACCAACACGGCCGACACCACGGCTCTTGGCACGCACGCTGGCATGCTTCCGCTTTGGGCTGGCGGCGTGCTCAGCGAGGACAAGTCGACCATCTACGGCGTTCCGTTTTCGTCCACGTCCGTGCTGCTCATCGACACGTTGCGGAACACCACCGACACAACAACACTTGCGGGGCTCTCTGACCAGGAGTGGAAGTGGTCCTTTGGCGTGCTTGCAGGCAACACTGTCTTTGGTATTCCCTTTCAAGCTGACCATGCCCTCATCATCCCCTCACTCTGCTGACTAAATTGTTGTGCGTGTGTGTGTGTGTGTGTGTTGTGTGTTGTGTGTATGTGTGTGTGTGTGTGCGTGTGTATGTGTGTGTGCGTGTGTTGTGTGTAGGTGTGTGCGTGTGTTGTGTGCAGGTGTGTGCGTGCGTGTGTATGGCATTTGGCATTCTCCTCGCTGTGCAAGTGTGTTGTTTCTGTGAGGGCGTACAATGTGGGACTGCGAATATCTCATATTGGCACAAGCGCTAACTGCCAAATGAAAAGGCTTAACTGTATTGCCAAAAAGAACGAATTCAGGCACACAGACATACACGCGCGCGCACGAAAACACACACACACACACACACACACACATTTGAGATACACGCACGTGTACCACACATGTGAACACACAAGGCACACACACTTATGTCAACACACATGCATTGCTTTTCTTGCCTAGTCTTCCTGGTCTTCTATGACCTCAAATTTCAGCAGGTGCTCGCGCAGCACCTTGGGCTGGGTGACGTGTGAGAGGTTGCGAAGACTGTAGCCGTACTGGTTCAGCTCATCCTCATACTTGGCGATGAGGTTCTGGCAGGTTGGTGAGGACATGTCCACCAGCGCATTCCAGTCGTCGACCCAGCGCATGGCGCTTCCAAACGACACCTGCACGTGGTGCCGGTCGCCGTGGTATCCAAGCAGCTTCCGTTGTGACTGAGGACGAAGCTGGTCTGCCTGTGGATGGCTGTTCGGACTTTGGCTTGCAGAGCGGCTTTGAAGATGCCCCGCTGCTGATGCGGATGGATCAGAGCCGCCTGGTGAGTTGCGGCGTGTGCGGCCGCGCCTTGCTGCTGCTGCCGCCACTGCTGGCCGTGGGTGTGACTGCTTGCCCTGCAGGTGCACCTTGTTGGGCAGCCCAAGGAAGCGCTCCATCTCCGCCATGTAGCCCTGCGCCATGGCCTGACTGCGGCCCACAAAGTCCTCCAGCTGGATGACGGCCACGTGCTCAATGTGCTCCATGTCCTCGCGTGCAAGCCGGTACAGCTGCAGCCAATGCGCGATAAACTCCTCACCGCAGTCTGGCACACCTTCCTCGCGATACTGCGGGCGCATGTATCGGAAGTGGGCGCAACCGAGGGGATGGCGAATGGTCATCAGAAACGACACGCGGTCCCCGGTGAAGAGCGCCTGCAGAAACCGCATCTTCAGCATGTGCGGGGGCGACTTCTCAAGCAGCACGGGCTTGCGGAGATCCCAGAACTTTGCCCACGCGTTGAAGATGGCCAGTCGGTTGTCGTCTGTGACAAAATCGCTCTCCTCCGTGACACGGCTCCTGGGGTCGAAGCCGTAGCCCAGGTCGCCGCCCGTGCGCGCCGCTGACGGGTACACGTGCTGGAGGTGCTGTCCCTCGTTTTCCGGAACATTGGTATCTGCCAAGTGCGAGCCAGTGTCAGAGTGTCGTCACGAGATCACATTATGCATGCATGCATGTGAGTTTTGAGGGTTTTGAGTGTTGGGTGAAATGACTCGAGGGGATATATGTAAGCGAAGCTCTGAAGCTGGGGGAGGTGGGGGGGGGGGATAGGACAGGGAGGCGAGGGCGCGGCTCAATGGCCTCGGTGGCTCGAGCGGTGCGTTGGGTCATGTCACCGGAGGAACCATTATTAGCATCTCACATCACGGCATGCGTGGAGGCGTGGGTGACGTCAGGCAAGACGAAGAAAGGAGAGGAACAAGATCACGACAGCATGACAGCGACCACTCGCTGTATCCTCACCAAGCAGACAAGAGACGCTAGGGTGTTGGCATATGACAAGGTCCAAGATGGTGGTTCCACTGCGAGCATGTGCGTGTGTATGCGTGTGAGGTTGGAGGGTTGGACGTTTCGTGAGGGCTGGTGATGTGGACGTGTGTACTCACAATCGGCAACACGGCAGGAAGCAATTGCGCTAGGCATGAATATACGACGACATGCCAACTGCCTGACAGCAGAAGCAAGTGCGCGAGCGTGAAACGAAAGGGCAAAACGCACAGTACACACCTGTGGTGGGCTCCTACAACAAAGAGAAACGAGTGATTGGCCATCTGTGGTGGAAGGTCAGACGAGGAGGAGAGCAGCGGCGCTGCCCCGGCAGGCACATCCGCCGTCAGCGCCAGCGCCAGCGCCAGCACAACCACAGCAGCCTTCATCATTGTCGTGTGCCTGGTGGTGCGCTGTGTTGTTATTTTATTCGAGCGTGGAAGCGCCTGGTGCCTGGGTGGCTTGGTTGGCTGGGGAGAAGTCGTTGTAAATTTAGCTTCCTGCGTGTGGCGAAGGATGCATTGGGAAGCCAACAAAGCTTTGTGTTGCGTGTGTTGGCGCACACGTAAATATGCATCAAATTACAACCCACCCCATTGATTTTATTGTTGCTTCAGCACCACAGGGCCCGTTCACAGCGAGTAATTGTGGGTAGTTTTGGGTCGAATACTGCGTTCACGGCCACGCAATGTGGAGTAATTGGTTGATCCGACGTAATTGCAAATTACCATCCCCCGACTTGTGAAAGGGTGGTAATTTGGGGTAATGGCGCCGACGGTTGTGCGAAGTCCGGTAACCGTCAGTCGAACCCGTTGCACCGATCGAGCCAACTGAGGACGGTAACTGTCACCTTCCCCCAATATGAGCGTGTTTGGAGAGGGTACAGCCACGAGTACCCACGCCTTTGCTCGTCTACTCGTCTACGTCGCTGCACAGTACAAGCCACGACGGTCGTAGGAGCAGCGCACGTTTCCGAGGTACGTTTTGATCCCAGTATGCATGGCAAACTGCGTTGTATGGCTCTCCCGCATACTCATATACGCGCGCGCATATGTGTGTGTGTGTGTCGCTCGTTCTTGTCGATGGTGCTGCCGTCCATTAGGCGTGAGAAGGACATCTTTGGCTTGCCAAATGAGACGTTTCGCCAGAACTTCCGTGTCACCAAGGATCAGTTCTGGGAGTTGCTTGATGTCATTTCTCCGCACCTCCCCAAACGCCCTGGGACTGACGTGCCCGATCGCGTCGTCCTTGTCGGCCTGCTGTGGATGTTTGCTCACGGCTGCTCTCTTCAGGTGCGTGCGTGTTGCGTGTTGTTCCCGTTGATGATCTTTCCCGTAGGTACTTTGGCCACCTCGCTCACGCGTTGTTTCCGCACGTGTGCTTTGTTCAGGCTGTGCAGTTCTCAATTGGGATCAGCAAGTCCATGTGCAGTACGCACTTCCCCGCGTTCGCCAAGGCGATCATCGATGGACTCGACAACATCTCGTTTCCAACTGGGGAAGAGCTGAAGGAGGAACAGCGGCGATGGGCTCAGGATGACTTCCTCGAGGGCTGTGTCACGGCTGCCGATGGCGTGCACATCAGATACACCCCAACGACGAATGGCCACGAGGTCCGTGAATGACTTACAGTGCCCTGTACTCTATTCCCACTGCTTGCTTGGGCCTCTGCTCTGTGTCCCCATCGTGTCGTTCATTCATATAGCGCCCGCTCTCGTCTCACACCGCTCACGTCCGACACATGGCATGTGCCCACAACGTCGCACTTGCGCATACTTGTGTGTGTGCGATACAGGAGCGTTGGCGAAACAGAAAGGGCTTCAAGTCCCAGAACGTCCTTGTTTGCGCCTCGTTCGACAGACAGGTTCGCTGTTCTTGTGCGTGCGTGTGTGTGTGTCTGTGTGTGTGTGTGTGTGTGTGTGTGTGTGTGTGTGTGTGTGTGTGTGTGTGTGTGTGTGTGTGTCTGTGTCTCTGTGTCTGTGTCTGTGTCTCTGTGTCTGTGCGATGTGTGTGTGTGCGAAGCTGTGCCGCCAATTACCGACCCAGGTCACCTCATAGCCTGCCATGATGCGCATCGCACCACAAAGATACAGCACGTCGTCGTTGGCTGTGAGGGCAGCTGCCACGACGCGAGTGTCGTGGCAACTGCTGACCTCACCTCCAAGCTGCCTGAAGGGAGCTTCGGACTATTCGACGCTGCCATGCGCCTGACCCATAAACGGTGAGTGGCCGCTCGCGTGTGTGTGAGAGCGTGTGCATGCGTGTGTCTGTGTGCATGCGTGTGTGAGAGTGTGTGCATGCGTGTGTCTGTGTGCATGCGTGTGTGAGAGTGTGTGCATGCGTGTGTCTGTGTGTGTCTGTGTGTGTGTGTTTGTGTCTGTGTGTGTCAATCGTGTTTGTGCGGTGTTTAAATCGGTGAAGCCTGTTGCCTCACACCGTATGTGTGCGCGGGCGTGTGCGTGTAGATGGCTGACGCCCATTCGTGGAGTCACCTATCACCTGGACACGTTCAAGTCCCGGGGAGGACCGCAGTCGGATGAGGAAATATTCAACTACATGGTAGGGTCCACGCATGTCGGCTGCACATGAGTGCACAAACACACACGCACATGCACACGCACATGCACACGCACATGCACACGCACATACACACGCACATGCACACACACACATGCACACGCATACGCACATACGCACACACAAGCACGCACGCACACACACGCACACACACGCACGCACGCACGCACATGCGTGCACACAAGCACACACATGCATACATGCATTCACTGAGCAGTGTGTATGCAAGGTTGCGTGTGTAGATGTGCGTGCGGGCGTTGTTACATGAGTGCATGCTTTGGCGGGTAGTTCGTTCTATTACGCTCCGTCGTACACAGCAACAAATACAATGCCAACTCAGAGACACAACAGACATAGTCAAACCAGGTTGAATATGGAAGCAGAGACAGAAAGAGTGGTGTTAAGACGACTTCTTGTCCTGCCGGCGACGCAAGCTCCGCACGGCAGCCACGAGGGTCCCAATGCAGTCCCTGGGGCGCGAGCGTGTGTGTGTATGTCGTGTGCGTGCGTGCGTGCGTGCATGAGTGCGTGCGTGCATGAGTGTGTGCGTGTGAGTGTGTGTGTGTGTGTGTGTGCGTGCATGAGTGTGTGTGTGTGTGTGTGCGCGCGTGCATGAGTGTGTGTGTGTGTGTGTGCGTGTGTGTGTGTGCGTACGTGTGTGTGTGCGTGTGTGCGCGCGTGCATGAGTGAGTGTGAGTGAGTGTGTGTGTGCGCGTGCATGAGTGAGTGTGTGCGTGCATGAGTGCGTGTGTGTGTGTGTGCGCGTGCATGAGTGCGTGTGTGTGTGTGTGTGTGTGCGCGCGCGTGCATGAGTGTGTGTGTGTGTGTGTGCGTGTGTGCGTACGTGTGAGAGAGTGTGTGTGCGCGCGTGCATGAGTGTGTGCGTGTGAGTGTGAGTGTATGTGTATGCGTGTGAGTGTGTGCGTACGTGTGTGTGTGTGCGTGTGTGTGCGTGTGAGTGTGAGTGTATGTGTATGCGTGTGAGTGTATGTGTATGCGTGTGAGTGTGTGCGTGCGTGTGTGTGTGTGTGTGAGAGTATGTGTATGTGTGTGAGTGTGTGCGTGCGTGTGTGGGTGTGCGTGTGTGTGCGTGCATGAGTGCGTGTGCGCGCGTGCATGAGTGAGTGTGAGTGAGTGTGTGTGCGCGCGTGCATGAGTGTGTGCGTGTGAGTGTGAGTGTATGTGTATGCGTGTGAGTGTGTGCGTACGTGTGTGTGTGTGCGTGTGCGTACGTGTGAGTGTGTGTGTGTGTGCGTGCGTGTGAGTGTACGTGTATGCGTGTGAGTGTGTGCGTGCGTGTGTGTGTGTGTGTGTGAGAGTATGTGTATGTGTGTGAGTGTGTGCGTGCGTGTGTGGGTGTGCGTGTGTGTGCGTGCATGAGTGCGTGTGTGTGTGTGCGCGTGCATGAGTGTGTGTGTGTGCGTGTGTGCGCGCGTGCATGAGTGCGTGTGCGAGTGCGCGTGCATGAGTGAGTGTGTGCGTGTGAGTGCGCGTGCATGAGTGAGTGTGTGCGTGTGAGTGTGAGTGTACGTGTATGCGTGTGAGTGTGTGCGTACGTGTGTGTGTGTGTGCGTGTGTGAGTGCATGAGTGTGTGCGTGCGTGCATGAGTACGTGCGTGCGTGCATGAGTGCGAGTGTGTGTGTGCATGAGTGTGTGCGTGCGTGCATGAGTGCGAGTGTGTGCGTGCATGAGTGTGTGCGTGTGAGTGTGCGTGTGCATGAGTGAGTGTGTGTGTGTGTGTGTGCGTGCGTGCATGAGTGCGTGTGTA